GCAACTCTGCATCAGTCAGGATAAAGTACAGTCTGTGCTGAAACAGGAGACTGATGACATGTTGGTGAACAAACAGAAAGGCAAAACTGAGACTTCAAAACAAAAAAAGCACAAGAAAGCTCACCCAAACCAAAAACTATATTCTTGTAAAATTTGTGACAAAACCTTTTCTCGAAATGATACCTTGACAACACACATGACAACTCACACAGCTAAGAAACCTTTCACATGTTCAACCTGTGGAAAACATTACCCTCACGAGAGTCATTTAAATGATCACATGAAAATTCATACAGGGGGCAAACCATACACATGTACAGCTTGTGGAAATAGTTTCCATCGAATCAGTTCTTTAAACAGACACATGAAAACACACTTGGGTGAGAGGCCTTACACGTGCACAACCTGTGGAAAAAGTTTTGTGACTAAATGTCAGTTACTTGATCACATCAGAATTCACACAGGTGAGAAGCCTTTCTCTTGTGGGACCTGTGGAAAAAGTTTCACTCTTAAAAAAAATTTTAATCTTCACATGAGAATTCACACAGGTGAGAAGCCTTTCTCATGTGAAACTTGTGGAAAAAGTTTCTCTGATAAAATAAGTTTAAATCTTCACATGAAAATTCACACCGAGAAGCCTTTCTCATGTGGAACCTGCAGAAAAAGTTTCACTCATAAAAGAAATTTAACTACTCACATGAGATTTCACACGGGTGAGGGGACTATGTCCTGTGGCACCTGTGGAAGACGGTGCTTGTATAAATCTAAGTTAGTTGAGCACATGAGAACTCACACAGGTGAGAAACCTTTCTCATGTGGGACCTGTGGAAAAAGTTTCTCTAGTAAACACAGTTTAAATCTTCACATGAGAACTCACACTGATGAGAAGCCTTTTTCATGCAAGATCTGTGGGAAAAGTTTCACTTATAAAAATAGCTTAACTGCTCACATGAGAATTCACTCAGTTTGAAGCTGTTCTCATGTGGGATCTGTGGAAAAAGTTTTGCTCAAAAATACTATTTAACTTCTCACATCAGAATTCACACATGTGAGAAGTAGCGGGTGTACTGATTTATCAGCCAGCCGATTAATCCATGTTTATTTCCTTAATTTTGGGACATCAGCTGATTCTTGCATGTGAAGCTGGTCTGATCCCCCAATTTTATTGACCTCAGCCACTGCTCTCTTCTGCTCTCCTTTGAGAGGTGTGACTATTGGAGCGCCCCAAAATGAAAACTGCAATCGGTGCACCCTTAGTGAAAAGCGAGAAAAATGTTTTGTGTAGATCCAGTTTACTTCATCACAAGAAGATTCACATGGGTTAGAAACCTTTCTGTTGTAGGTTCTGTAGAAAAGGTTTCACTCAAAAGAAATGTAACAGTTCACATGAGAACTCACAGGTTTGATGGCACAATGTGAACCTCAAGTAAGATTCTTAGTAACCTGCTGATTGGAAGTGGAGTAATTGCAGGTTTGACTGCTTTCAGATTTAGACTTGTAAAATTTTGGAATCTTTCTTGTGTTTTATCCTTTGTACTTATTTATTTTATTTAAATGATTTGGGGAAATGGATGTATTTATTTGACTTGGTTTTAATGATTTTTCTGCTTAGAAAATGTATTGATGTGGATTGTATTTTAGAAAATTATTGAAAATTTTAATATAAATTTTAGATAATAAATTATTATACTGATGATACTGATGGTCTTTTTCTTTTTTTCTGTTTAGTAGAAAACATGTTAAATCGTGAAAATGTTTATAGATACAGCAGCAGAGCCCATCTCTTCCTCCTGAACTTTGCATGAATTTTAGTAGTCAACATTCATTTTCAATAAACACTTAACAGATAGTAAAGTTCAGGGATTATTATTCTATTTATTTAATATTCCCTGCTGGAGCAATGTTCTTCCTGTGTATTTTCTTTTGAAGTACCGAGTAACTGATCATAACACCTGATTTAGTATTTAAAATGTGTCCTCAGACAGCCAAAAGTATAAAACTTATGTGAACATTCTGTTGTTTTACAGAGTATTACCAAAACATTTATATAAATAAGGAGTGAGGTTTGTAGGCTGGTTCTAGACCAGATTTACCACAGGGGATTTGTGTTTTCCCTCTCACATCTGTATCTTTACGAGAGGTTTTGCCTCCAAGGACGGTGGAGAATCGGGTCTAGGACGTTTTAAAAAGACCCGGGTTGACAGCGGCTCCGTAGTGTCCGTCTCTCAAATGCACGTTCATGTTGAAGGCTTTTGGTGCGTCTCACATTCTCCACATCCGCCCTTCGTTCGCCCATTTTCAGTCCTATTTCCGTCTTTTAATATGGCAAAATTCACAGAGCAAGATATCTGTTGCAAAAAAGAGAATAAATCAGTTTTCTAAAGTAAACTATTGAAATAATATTGTTTCACTACCGAACATGAGTGAACACATTAAAATTTCTGTATTTTGTAACGCATTTGAACAGCCAAATATCTGCAGCATTCAATTAAATAACCTAGTATTTTTGAAAAGTAATCGAATTCTGAGATTTTCATTCATTCTCCAAAAGTTATTATAGAAAATGCTTTTTCCTCTGTTTAGTATTGACTTTAAACTCTGTAGTTCCTCTGAATATTTATTATATTCTAATAAAAGATGCTCTTCTGTTACCATCTGATTACAATTACAAGTCCCTGTTTCATGTTTCCCTATTTGAAAAATAGAACCAATTCCTGTATGACCAGTTCAAGGTATGATTAAGAAACTGTGAACGATTCATAAGTTTTACAGTATATATACAGTATTAGTAAATTAAAAAATTATTGAAATGTTCAATTATTTTATTTTCTCAATTCACCTTGTTACAACACAGTACTTTGAATAATTCCTCATAGATTGATGTTTTAAAACCTTGTATTTCTGTTTATTTTTGATAAATTTCTGGTTACATCTAATGAAAACATGACATTTGAGATTAGATAGACAAATTAATAAAAACATTTTGCTTCATAGGCTTAAAGAGAGCAATGCTTTATACCTGCTTGAAGTCACCAAAGATACTCTTCATCTGAATGTTAATACCACATTTTCTTTGTTTTAATTTGAGTATGAATAGATCTGTATAATTAGAACAAAACACGTATAGTTATATCGGCACATAAGATTGTAGTTTGTAGTTTCTGACTCATTTTTAAAGTTAAACAGCATTCTTGTGGTACTCGAAGTTGGTCTTGGTCTCGAGACTGGTCTTAAGACCA